AATATATGTATTTGAGGATATATATTTATTTTTTCTTGTTTTTTAAATCCATTTTAACCACATATTAAACCCTTTATTTGCCAGCCTATCTGTGTCGTTGGCCTTATGACGAGGAGTGCCCGTGGGTTATCCTTATCGTTCTGTCTTGGTCACTCTTGGTTGGGCCTGGTTGACTTTCCAGTCAGCTCCTACAATGTCACTTGGCCACCTCTAGATCTGTGTTTGCCGGTCTAGACGTAATCGATGCACTCCTTAAAGTGACACATTGCAGCGATCCCAGAGCGTTATCGAGATCTGATTCCTAAGTTGAGAGCTGTTCTTCCTGTAACGCTTCCGAATAACGAGTTCCTGGTCGAAAAGAGTTGAAAGATACGAAATTAGGTGGTCGTTGGAATCCTGATCGCAGTAAAGTGGTCCTTGGTAACATCAAGCATAGAGAATGTCTGGATCCATCAATAGTCTCCTGATAGGGAGGGCAGTGCGATTAATGGCTTCCATCGACTGGGTAGTGTTCGGCAAGTGGGTGGCGAAGAGCCAGTCGGGCATATATCATGACGGTATCTCCGGTCGCTTAATGCAGTTTGCTGCTTGGCTAGCCTAGGGAAATGTTAATAAAGGTAAAGTAAACTATATTTTTAATGACATACGGGGCACAAAATAATTGGTGTTATGTAAATGTAGTTCTGTATGCATATAAGACTTGTAATGTAAATGGAGACTGAAATAGTACAAAAATACATGGGTAGTATTTAACACTCAGTACAGTATATTGTACTCTCTTATTTCTCTCTCTCTCTGTCTCTTTCTTTCTTAAGTAGTCTGTATATTCTCTGTAGACTTAATATTTTCCTTAATGTTAGGACACTTTATTGGCATTTTGCTTAAAGCAATATGCTTTCTTCATTTATTTCGTGCCCTGATACAGATAATTCAGTTTTGATAGAATACAAGTATGGCAATTGCCATGTTTGTAATTTATCTAACATCTTCTTTTTCAGTAGTCTTAAGTTTCTTTTGTTTATTTTAAATGATTTTTATATAGATAAGTATTAATTTCCACTTCTTTGCATAACATAACTGGTCTTGTGTTAGGATCTCAAAGACTTCATGAGACAAGCTGGGGAAGTAACCTTTGCAGATGCACACAGACCTAAGTTAAATGAAGGGTAAGCCTCTAAAATAATTTCCTGAAAGCTGTAGGGTAATATGTGTATCTGTAGTATTTGAGGAGGGAAGCTGGCTACTTCCAGTGCTCAGCAGCTGTTCGTGGTTTAATTTAGCTACCCTTTGAAAATGCATTCTCTGGTATTTGGGGAGGGGAATTCTTCAATTAATGTTTAAGTTATGACAGGGGATACTACACTGAGCAGTGTGAGGTTTTTTTGAGTTGTTTATATTTATTCTTTTTCTCCCCACAGTATGTTTTGCTCTGTCATCAAAAATACAACTTGTAATAGTGAGCTCTCTGTTTTGTTTGTTTTGTTTTGTTTTTGTAGGGTGGTTGAATTCGCCTCTTACAGTGATTTAAAGAATGCTATTGAAAAGCTTTCTGGTAAAGAAATTAATGGAAGGAAAATCAAACTAATTGAAGGCAGCAAAAGGCACAGGTATGGATTTCTATTCTCTTAAATATTGCTTAAATATCCACTAAGAAAGCTTTGAAGTCAGTGGCCAGGCAACAGAACTGGAGACTAGTGAATTGCCTGGTTATTGTTGTGGTCCGTGGCGTTTCCTTGCTGACACCGATGCTCTTTGTTTCCCCAGTAGGTCCAGAAGCAGGTCACGGTCTCGTAGCAGAAGCTCATCCAGGTCTCGTAGCCGTTCCCGTTCCCGCAGCCGCAAGTCTTACAGCAGGTCACGGAGTAGGAGCCGTAGCAAGTCTCGATCAGTTAGTAGATCTCCAGTGCCAGAAAAGAGCCAGAAACGTGGTTCTTCCAGTAGGTCTAAATCCCCATCATCTGTGGATCGGCAGAGGTCTAGATCGAGGTCCAGATCTGTTGACAGTGGCAACTGAACTATAAGTAACTTGCCCTGAGGGCCCTTTTTTAAACCATACTTGCTAAAACTTGTGGTAAGTATGTGACTTTCTGTGGGGAAGGGTTTGGATGGGGAGAGGGGAGGGATGGGGGAACTTTGTAGATGTGGACCATGGTGGGAAGGGTTATTGACTAATTGTATTAAATGTTTTTTGATAACCCTTTTCTTGCTCACATTTTTTGTGAATGTCTGAAGTGTATAGTTTGTGTATATTGGCAGAGCTCTTTATAACTAAAGCAGACAAATTTTTTTTTACTCTGAAAAAAGGGTCAACTGAACACTTTATTCCCAGTATATTTGACTGTGAATAGCAACTCAGAACATCACTATCTCAAATTAAACTAACAGCTTTAGGCATCTAAGAGCTCTACATGTGCTGTATATAAAGCTTTATTTCAGAGGGTATTTTTTTGTGCTTTTGAACCGCTGTTTCAGTTATAGGTCAGCAGATTAAGTGCTGGTCAGTACTGGTAATAAAACTTTATTTTTGAAAGCTTCTCATTTTATATGACTTGCACTACACTAAGAAAATGCCCGTTTCACTGCCCTGTGGTAATAATATTCTATAAAACACCCTAATTCTTGATACTTAAGAATTAAATAGCTCAAATAAAGTATGAAGAAACACATCCCTGCTTCTCCTGTGTTTTGCTGTTAATAAAGTGGTTGTGACTGTGCCTCATGTTGTTGGACAGTGTAAAATGTTTCTTAAAGACAGGACTGCAGCAAAGCGATCACTCAGTGTTTTGGGTGTGGGGGGGACTAACTTCCTTTTAAATACATCATGCTGGGTCCTTAGATGTCTTTGTGTTCTGAAATAAAACCTTGATAATGAGAATCATGTTGCCATAGTTACTAGTTACATGGTTACTGTGAGGGTGCCAGAGCACTGGGACAGGCTCCCCAGAGAGGTTGTGGAATCTCCTTCTCTGGAGACGTTCAAAACCCGCCTGGATGCAGTTCTGAGCAACCTGCTGTAGGGAACCTGCTTTGTCAGGTGCGTTGGACTAGATGATCTCCTGAGGTCCCTTCCAACCCCTGACATTCTGTGATATTTCACAGCAAAAAGTGGAAGGGATAAGTAATTTAGGTTTTAATGACTGTTTGGATAGTCAGTATGGAATAAAGATGGATGTAGTTGGCATGCATCATTACAGTGTTTGTGCACACACGTAAGAGAGGTTAGGGAGGTGTGGATAAAGCATTTTTATAGGCATTACACACGGAATCACAGTCCTCATTTTGGAGGAGGAGGGGGGGAGGGACTGTTAAGTTGGTGAGTAGGAGTACTACAGCCTGCATTATAGTGTTTGTGCCTTACAGGGGCAGCAACCCCCTGCGCTCCCTGTGTTTCTTGAACCCTCATCCATGTTGCAAGAGGGAGCTTTAGAATGTAATTTAAAAAACAATGTGTTCTCTTATAAAGTGCTTTATAAAGCTACTCTGGTAATCACTGAAACCTTTAGAAAGATCTCTGGAGCCTAGGCTGGGCTTTAGATTAGGTCCTGGGAAATGCAAGGTGGTTCCACTCGAAGCGAGGTCTGGCCTTGGTCTCTGCAGGCACTGCTCTCTTTTCTCCATACTGTTGCACAGATCTGGTAAATGTGTTCCAAGCTAATGAATGAGAACCAGCTTTTGTGCCTTACTGGTCTGTTGGTTAAGGTAGCACTGGATGAAACTGCCACACACTCCTGGGAGCAGGGAGTGAGGTGGTCAGATCCATAGGTTGGATTATTACTGGTCAGCTTTGGGGAACGGGAGGCTTCATTCTCGGAGGCTGGTAGTGCAGATGCTGGATCACCTTAAGGGGCGTGGAAGAAGAGGGCTTTAATCTAGGAGTAAAGGCAGCATTGACTTGTCCAGGTGTAAGGTTAGCTGTGTTACCTCAAGTCAGTTGATCTTTCCTGTTTAGTTAAATTAACACAGGCATTTGTGTTCTGGTGGGACCTGGCTCCAACAGGAACCCAGGTGGCTGAAGGCATCTGATGGTTGGAAAGGGGTGGGATTTCATACACTTCCCTGCCTCAGGCTAAATATGAAATACCACCTGCTCTATAAATACCCGTTCAGAATTCTGTTTCTCAACTACCACCTCTTGCCTTGCAAGCAGCATGAAGAGATATCTGTGTTTTACTTGGTGAACTGGCTGTTCTGATGATGAACTTCCAGGTTAGAACAAGCTCCCAGGAGGGCTGTGTTGTCTACTGTCCAGAAATGATTCTGTGTTTATGAAGCATACATTCTTGGTATGAGCCTGTTCATTCACAGTTAAGATTACTTCAGGTTACAAAACACACTTAGGACACTGGAGGTGTTAATGCCCATCTTCCCCTCACACTCCTAGCGCGACAGTAGCTAGGTGGTGTCCTGAAGAGGTGGCGTGTTTGTTCGCTGACAAAGCAAGGCACATTCAGGGCTCCTGTCTTTTCAGAGGTACAGCTTGCTGCACCCGAACTCAGCATGCTAAGGCAGTTTGCACAGCTGTGTTCAGTTTTTGTGGGCTCTGCTGTGTACACCACACAGTGCTCAGGTTTTGGAAAATGGGAGTGTCCAGCAGTCCCTGGGCAGCTCAGCTGCATGCTTGGTCTTGGTGTCTCCCGCCCTGAGGAACTCACATCTCATTTTGGGTCTTTGTTAGAGAAATTGCATTAATCTTCAGTGATGTTTTTGAGAACTGCTTCCAACGTGTGCCAGCAGGAAAATTATAAGTGAAATTAAAAAAGGGAACTGATCTGGGCAGTGATTTTCCTATGGGCTGAATTGGGGCAGTCACTTGGGAGCATGGCCCCAAGCTGTCCCAAAGGGTTGTCATGATGACTTGGAAGTCACTGGAAGTCTCCCCCATGGGTAGGCAGGGAGAGGCTTAGTCTGGAGCAAAGTCTTTGGGAAATAACAGTGAGGTGCAGATAGCTCCATGGCAGTCCCTTTATCTGGTGTAAAATGAACGTATAAATAAAAAAGTCTTACACAGAACTGCTGGAGACCTGTAAACTGGCTGCAGAAGGTGGAGCTCGGAGGGACTGTGATAGTGGCTGCTGCAGAATTTGTATTGTTTTCCTGGTTTCCCACTGCTTCTGCAGGGTCTTGACACTGGTTTCATTTCTTGAGCAGTAATTGTGTCCACAGCTGCACAGATAATTTTTGCTGCATCTGAAGGAAAAGAAAAATGTAGTGAGAATGAGCAGTTCTGAACCCAGGTAATGGAACGATTGTGACTCAGCTACAATTGGTGTTGCTGGGTGATTTGAAGCAGAAGGAAGGAACTTGGAAGTCTTGTCAAAATACTTAAGCCATTTTGTTTCCTGTCATTTATGAATCAGAGCCTGGAAAGCCACCCTTTTTATAGTAGCCTTGCAAGCACCCGTGTCCCTATTTCCAGTATCAGCTGCTTTGCCCTGAAGGCACCTGAGGATCCAACTTGATTGTTTTGGGTTTTTTTCCCCCATTAACAGTCATCCTTCAGCTATAGCTGTAAGACATGTAAAGTGCTCCTGTAGTAGCTGCTCAGCTGCTTCTCTGTTCCAAGGGACTGGAGAAAGCTGGTCTGGAAGCATGACTGGTGGAGGGTCTCATTCAACAGTGCATTCTCCAGCCATCTTTGCTTTTGCAGGATACTCACCCTAGTCTAAGCACAGGGCTCTGAAAACCTGTGAACACTAATATAGATAGTATATAGCTATATGGAATATTCTGCTGATGCAAGAAGTCATATTTTCTAACGTCTTTTGTTACCTATGAATTTTTGACTGATTTGTATTTAATGCGTTGGGTATGGTAACTGAGTTAAAGGGCACCCTGATTATGTCCCTAGAATGCAGGAATTCATTGGGAATTATAAGTAAGCACATATGGTTTGGATTGGGAAGGGTAAGAAATGCAGGCGCAAAGCTGTACTTGCCATTTGGTTTCTTTATTCTGTCATGGATCCTGAAGACGAGGATCAGCAGAAGTCCCTCTCCAACCTGGAACAGCAAGTAAAGCAGTGGGAAGAAGTACAGAGGGCCGATGATTTCTGGAGCAAAAGCGACTGTGAGTATAGCTGAGCAAAGCTGAACATCCTGGCAGCCAGTTTCCATGCACACTGTCCGCCTGCATCTGGATGAGGAAAAATTGAACAGATTACAGATTTAATCCAATTTTAAACAATTTAAAAAGAAGCCCGCCTACCTTACTGTCGCAACGCTTCACGCATTTGCCTGTGCTAAAAGCTGCAGTACAGGGATCCCTAGAAGGCTTTGCCTCGTGCTCCCTTTGCAGCGTGCAGAGACAGATCGCACTATAAATGTGGACTTTGGGCTTGATGGTGTTTGGAGGCCTTGTGTCCCGCTCTGGGCTCTGCAGCTTCCTGCAGGGAAGGAATCTGCTTCTGGGGTGAAAAGACTCCCAAGATGTGAAGGTAAAAAGTGAATAGAAAATAGTGGGCGTCTTACCTGGATTGGGTAGGATGAGAAAGGGAAGGAGTGGGTTTTATATACAAGGTTTCCATCCTGAGTTCCTGGGGCTGCAGCTGAATGCACTGGTTGGTTTGGGGTACTTAGCAGCTGAGGAATAATTGTGTCACTTGGGTTTTGGTTTCTGTTGTTCCCCAGTTCTTTGGGGTTTTTTGTTTGATGCTATTAATTCTCTTTTTCCCACAGCTTCATTACTGAGAGCAGAGGCTGGTAATATGTGCTTAGCGAGTCACTAGTGACCTTAAGTCAAAACCATCCATCTGCTTGTTCAGTGAACCTTCCACCCTTTCTGTGGTGACCAGGTACCCACACCAAAAAACCCGCTCCAGCTGCTCCTCCCCTCTCTGCTGAGCTGAGCAGAGATTGAACTAATTTCTCTCCCCTCTCAAGGTGTGGGAGTATCCACTTGGGACCAGCTTGCAGCATGTCTGCTTCTGTTCCTAGGGCTCATTTTGGAAGACTGCAGTCAGTGTTTATTTTACAAAAGTACCTCAATGCTGAACCACGTGTTTTCAGTGTTGCTCCATAGTCCAGAGCTGTCATACCTCTCTGTTCCTTCTGGTGACAGAGTGAGGGAAGGGGGGAGTGGAGGAACATACCAGTCATGAAGCTTGAGTACTGCGGAGAGAACATAGCCCAGCAGGAGTCCAATAAAAGGCATCAAGGCAGCAGATCCCAGGAGGGAAGGTGAGAAGACAACCATGATACTACTTCCCACATTGGCCACAGACAGAACAATTATTGCGACACACAATAGAAGCACAACCATCCCTGCCTAAAGTAAAAGTGGTCAAGACATGGTCAGGAGAGAAATCCCCAACAAAATTTGTCTCAGCTGTTGGAAGCAGCTGTGCTCAGTTCCCTGTCCATCACATACGTAAGTATACAGAGAGAGAGGCAGGTCTTTCATGGACATAAATGTTACAAGTAATCAACAAGAGGCCATCCTGAGGTATTACCTAGAGAGACCTAAATAACCTTTCTGGTCTATATATGCAAAAAGATTGTTACGTGCTCCACCAGCCCCTTGTTTCTCAGGTATTGCTATGTGTGTCTCTGACCAAGTCCCTCTGTGGGTCTACTCCACCCAAAGCAGGTGGGGAGGAAACCACTTTACTCACAAGTAGAGCCTGCCTACAGCAGGCATGGAAAGTGGTGGCTGCATTTTTAGATCATCTCATTGGTGTCTGGTGATCCAGCAGACGAAGGAACTGGGGAATTCTGGGAGGCAGAATACACAGCTCTTATGCCTGTCTTTCAACTTTGCAGTCCAATTTGGATGGACTTCCCAAGATGTTTTTTTAAAAGCAAGTCTCTACCCCTTTTCTCTTCTGTAGAGAAGATAAATGGAAAGGTATTGTTAGCAGAAAGGAACATGAAAGGTCAGCTGGGCTGATGTAGGTCACCTTCCCCTGCTAGGCTTCTGAAGCTTCTTGTGAAACAGTCCAGTCATCACTGCCCTGTGCTGGGTAAAGGAACCTCTGAAGAATTCTGGTCCTCCTGTCTCTGCTCTAACCTGTCTCCTGTCCCCCCATGCTTCTTAGAGGTTAGTGATTCCTAATGTCATTTTATCAGGTCTGTTATTGAGTCTTGGCACCCAATTCTTGCTGCGCTTGGTCACAGTTTCTCTGAGATGAAGCCTTATTGAAAGAAACTATGAAAAACAGGTTTACAAAGTTGTTAGCAGCTCTCTGAGTACAGCTAGTGGAGCTCTTGAGTTAGACAATGGTGTAGTTAGTTGTCCCGATTTCCCTTTTGCTGTTTAAATGCCTGATGTACAAAAAAGACAGGGAGATGATTCCAGGCGTAAGTGGGCGCTTAGTGATCTAGGGGCTTCTACTGGATAGATGTCTCATTGATGTATACAGCAACTTTATGATGTGACTTTTGCCCTGTGCTAGACCTCTGAGAACAGTGGGCTGTTTTGTTTGTTTGTTGTTTTTGGGGGTTATTTATTTATTTATTTATCAAATCTGGGGTCTGCTTTGGTTACAGCAGTAGTCGGGGGAAGTGCTTATGAGGCTCTTCAGGGCTGCTTGTAGCAAAAGAAAATGAAGTTAAAACCAAAGCCAACAAAGGACAGTGAGGTAGGAAGTTGCTGAAAAAACATTGTTTGTCTAGAAAAGGTGGAGGACTTCTCTCTGGGCAAATATGTTAATGATTAAAGTGGTGAAGCAGATGTCTTGAGTTCTGTCCTCAACCCTTTAATTGATTTGTGGCATGCCTTAAAGAAGTTATTATTTCTGTGCCTCTACTTTTGAAAACTTCCTTGAGGCCCTCGGTTGAAAGGCAACTAGCACAGGATACTTCTTATCTTGATGATAAAGCCAGTGTATTGTGGTTTCTTCTCGTTCCAGATGATGCCAATGGCACAGGGGATTAGCATTAGGACCAGGGAAGTGATTATTCCTCTGTAAGGCACCTTGCCTGCCCAACCAGCCTCCTATAGTCCTCCCGAGTAAATGTACAGAAGGAGAGGCATTAGTCCAGATGAAGAAAGGACCCTTCAGTAGAAGAATGACACTTTTTTTTCTTTTTAAAGGAGTATGCTCATTTTTCTTACTTACATGGACACATGGGCTTAATACAAGACTTTACTGTACTCTTTCCCAGCCTGTCACTGAGGTTTCCCCATTGCCATCAGGTTGTGTAAGGATGTGATATGAATAGAAATTGGGGAAGATGGCTCAAGTTCTATACCAGCTCAGACAGGACCCTCCTTATGAGTACAGCTCACGTTGCAGAAATTCACAAGCAACACAGCAAGTAATGCCTGACATTTTCCCCCTGAATCTTGTTTTATGGCTAGGGTTTGCTGGATTGTGGGGTTCTGCTAGTTCAACATTTCTCGCTGATGCAGCCTCTTCAGACAGCGTGTTCAGTTTACCCAACTATATGATGCTATATGGATAGAAGTGGCAGATATATGCTATATGTACTGCTTTGTGGAGGCAGAACAGTGTTCCTGCACCTATCTCATCAAGAAGAGCATGAAGAACGCTTCACAGAAAGGTACAAAATCCCATTTTATTGTAAAATGGGGACAAATTGGCTCATTGAGCAATATGGGTGTTTTAAAAAGATCTAGATGGTATTTCAGATTTTGTCCAGCTTCTTAGGGATTGCTCAATATTGATGAAACTAGCTTCCAAACCAGTCATATGACTCGATTGGCCTGGGCAATGAGCATGTATTCAGCTCTCCTTACCTGAGATTCATGTCCCCTCCCAGTGCCAGACTAAAGATGTTGGAGAGGTTTCCCCTGGGCAGCAGCCGCAGATGAGGATGGCCAGGGATGCTGTAGCACCCAGCTGGAAGATCTTGCCCAATACGAATGCAGTCAAGGGCATGATGAAGTGCTGAGACATTACAGCAATTACCACGGCTTTGGGTTTCCCGAGGTGAGTTATGTTCTTGGCTATCTCCATCGTACGCCCCAGAGATACCATGATGACAAAGAGGACCATAATAAGGATTATATTCAGGGCTTTGTCTGTGTCCTGCTGGCCAAATGCAAATGGTGGTGCTGCACTGGTCAAGGGGGTGCTCTGTATGTGACCTGGGCTCCAGGTCCCATAGGAATTAGGAGAAAATGCAGGGGCAAAGCCCACAGCAATTCCTTCTCTCTTTCTCTCCATCCCTTCATGTTTTTCTCCTGCAGATCCCTAGACTTCCTAAGGAAATGCTTGTTTTCAGTGTGTTTGCCTTTTAGTTGTATGCTGAATTTTGTTAGAAGATGCAAGAAGGGTCAAGTCAAACAATTAAGTGGTTATGAAGCTTCACTGCCTTGGCAGCATCCAGACACCCTGCTCCCCCAAGCTCAGTGCAGCTCAGGGTTTTAAAACAACAATGTTGTAATGCTCTCATCCTTTGTCTTTGCAGTGCTGTGGAAGAATGTTTCAGCTACCCCCATAATTAAAAAAATGCCTGCTAGCTCTTTCATCTTCAAGTGTTCCTGGTGGTTCCCAGTACTTAACGCAGAAAACGCCATGGGAGCCAAGGGAGACACTGGCCAAAAGAAGCAGAATAAACTGGGATCATTATTTCATGCTGGGACATCCAGTTGTTTTACATGGGCACTGGAGCTGGGGGTTTGTGTTCAGATATGGCCAAAGAGCTGCATCTCTGTTCTAAAGCCTCTGCTTGCTGTGGTGGGAGCTGGCAACTGGCAGTGTGGCTGGAGGAAGGAGCAGGCTCCCATGCACGGGTTGTGCATGGCATGCTGCTGGTAGCCCACCGTGGGCTGCTGCTGACCTGATGGCCATGTATCTACCTCAGTTCAGAGGAGACTTTGGCTTTGGAGGAGCCGCCTGCTTGGCAAGCAAACTCCTGGCTTCCTCCCTAGGCAAAGCATGCCTTGTCCTTCCTTTGACTGCTTTTCAGGTTCTGTTCTTAAAAGGTAAATTCCTAGGTGTTCTTTAAATGGTCTCTTTTTTTCCCCTTCACAGCTCAAATATCCTCAAAAATATCCTCAAACAGCTTGCTCCTCACGCAAAGGCTTTTTTGCCAGTGCCCTTGCTCTGTGAGAAGCCAAGGAGCCTCCTGAAAGGCCCTGCACAGCTGATGCCACTTGAGGGCAGTGGTTGCATGCCCAGAGACTGATTGTTCTTTGAAGATAAAAGACTTCAGAAAACAATAAAGTCTCACCGTCAGTGCCATCGTTTAGATCGTTTTTATTAAGTCAGATATTCCCAAATTCAGATATATGGTTTAATACAAAAGGCATCACAGGACGCTTAACACAAGTGAGGCATTGAAGGAGATATTTAAAAAACCCCTGTGTAGACGTTTGCAAACTTCCTGTTGGAGCTCAAAATGAGCTGTGTTGCCGACTTTTCTTTTTAAGGACACCAAAGAAGTCAGTGCTTCATGCTTTCATAATGCAACTTCATGAATTCGCTGGATAAATATGAAATGGCTCACGTGCCTCTTTCACTAGTGGAGAGCTGAGGTTCAGTTTTCCAGTTTGCAGCTGGGTTTGTAATTTGTTCTGTGTTTTTACAGCATTTAATATAACTTGAGCTCAGCTGACTTGTTACCCAAAGGCCGTACGACAGCAGATGTACCCAGTAAGAGCAGCAGTGACCTGATTTGTGCCAGATTTCATGCTATGTTGGCCCACAATCTGAGACATGACCTTGGCATCTGGTGCCCGTATTTTGCGCAGGTAAGGTTTTTTCACTGTACAGTTATGTGCTCTGCTAATCCATTTGCTAACTTCTGTCTGCTCCTGAGGCAACTTTATAGTTTGAAACCATTACCCCTTGTTCTGTAGCTAAAGGCCCTGCTAAAAAGTCTGCCCTCACCTTTCTTATTTATAGGACCTCCTTAAGTACTGGAAGGCCACTGTAAGGTCTCCCCGGACCCTTCTCTTCTCCTGGCTGAACACCCCCAACTCTCCCAGCCGTGCCCTGTTCCCCACCACCGGGCTTTCACTGGGTCCCTGCTCTGCACTACTCTCTTATCTATCCCAAGCACAGACAGGAATCAAAGTTGTTTTTATTTATTCAAATCCCATCTAGCATCCCTCAGGCTTAAAAATCCCATGACTACCCACTTATACAATTTTGTTTGATAGGAAAAGAATTAATTTCGCAATTAAGCTGTGCCCAGAACAAATGATGTAAGAGCACTCTGTATGGGCCAAATTAGTGCCTGCTGAGACACAGCGCCAGCATCTGTCTGGTTTAGTGACACTTATTTTAACAGCCAGAGGGAGGGGACAGTGCACCCTCCTGTGATTTTACTGACAGCTTCATCTCAGCTGGAGACCTGGGGAGGACTTGGCAGTGTCAGCTGAAGCATGCTCCAGTCAGTCAGCTGTGAAAAATGAGCTCACTCGGATGCCTCTTCCCTGTTTTAGGGAAGTAATTTTAAATTTGAGCTTCCTGGCCAGGTGGGCATTGCTTATGGCTCCCGCCCCAAACTC